CAGGCTGAGATCGTATAGCAACAAACATCTCCAATGTGGTCTTTCTGTTAAGAAGTCCTTTGCAAGGAGTGTATCTTGGCACCATGTACCAAAGGGCCTCACTTTAGGAAGAACTTTTCCAGGAAGTTTTCCCACCAGTGTGTAAAAATTAAAAGTAACTACAGGAATATTTATATGAGTAAGACAAATAACCAGATCTCTGTTATTTATGTTGGTACAGAAAAGAAGTAAAAATTGATCTAAAATCCTATATATTTTTTTACTATTTATTTTAATACATTTTATCTATACATTTAAGAGCAAAGTCCTCTCTGTGTGGAAGAGAATTTGCCCTTTAGTGCACTAGACAGCTTTGCTAATACAATTATTAATTTACCTTAGGGTGCTGGGGAGAGTTTAAGAAAAGCAAAAGCAAAGGAGAGATTTCAGTTTGTGTTTGAACATACAAAAAGCATTCAAAATGTAGCATCAGCTGGCCCTCTGCTCATTCAGGAATACACTACAATGTACAATATGCAGCTTGCTCTTCATTAGTTTCCTTTTGCAGGTTTACTTGATTAACAAAAAAGAGCTAGAATTAGAATTTTAGATTTAGTTACTCTTTCTGCAACTATACTGTGCCATATCTGATTGACATTTTTATTTTATTCATAATGTAGGACAAGAGGAAATGGCCAGGGGAGCTTTAGATTGAATATTAGGAAAAATTTCTTTACTGAAAGAGTGGTCAGGCATTGGAACAGGCTGCCCAGAGAAGTGGTGGAGTCACCATCACTGGAGGTGTTCAGAAAACATGTAGACATGGCACTTTGGGACATGGTTTAGTGGGCATGGTGGTGTTGGGTTGACAGTTGGACTTGATCTTAGAGGTCCTTTCCAACCTTAATGATTCTATGATTCTATGTCTTGAGAAGATAAATTAATCTGGGGATGTATGCAGAGCTATTCATCCTATCAGATTGTATCATCAGTTTGATTCCAGTGGGTAACTGAAAATTGATACCACAATGGAGGATGGGCATCGAGTAGTCAATCTTTGGTTTCAGTGATGAGTGGTAGGTGGTGTCCATGTCTCTCAAAGCCATGCCAGTTGCCACTTTTCTGAGTGGAAAGAGAACAGAGACTGAATTCCTCTGGATTCAGTGGGATCAAGGTCAAGGGCAGCGGCAGCAGTGCCGTGTTGCGCTGTGATTTTGAATGAAAATGCAGAGGACTCTTATTGCTCAGAATCATCAATTCTTTGCTAAGTTCTTCCTTTAATTCCCTTTCAGTTCTTCCTCTACTACGTAAGAGTAGGAATCACTTCGAGCCAGTTCACATTGGAAAATACAACATGACAGTTTGTGTCCCCTTTAGGGACTGAGCACCAGAGATGCTCTTAGCTTACTAAATCGTTTAAATTGAAATACTAAAGGAATATTTACGTTTTTCTAAAGCATTTAGCATCATAGCTTTTTGTTTGTTTGTTCATATTCATGGTGTGTTAAGGAGGGGTCTTGTGTAATCAGGGATCCAAACTTGACTGCAGTAGATCCTGTGATAACAAAAATGTGAACAACATTAATACATCCGTTAAAAAGTAATACATGAGCAGGAGATACGTAAAGAAACAATGAGATAATGCCAGTCATTGTAATGATGAAACACCTCCCGTCGGGAGCAGCTTCCATCTCCCACCTAGGGGCTGGCTTTCTCCTTTGGGCTCTCCCCACAAAAAGGCAGTACGTATTTTGTGGTGTAAATAGGTAGCGTATAGATCAAAAGCTTTCCAGAGATCAAAAAGTATTGAGCTCAGAGATCAACGCTTTTGATGATCAACACTTTGGCCAGAGGTGGCCAATTTTGTTGTTAAAAATTAAAAGCTCCACGTTCTCACAAAAACGGATTATTGCTGAACCCGAGCGTTTACACAATTCTACATAGCATACCTGAGATCAGGAGCTGTGGTAGGCCACAGACTTCAGTTGTAAAAAGTATTCCCTTTGCTTTGGAGACTCAGTAATATTTTAAACTTTTTTCCACTAGATTTGTAAAGCAGTTACTTTTTCATAATTGTCTTCTAGGAGCTTTTTTTAAGTAATATTAAATAAATTGCATTTTATGATAAAATACAAAAAAGTTATGCCAAGAGTGTATTTTAATATAACGTGTCACGAGTTAGTTGGTAAGGAATGGTAACATTCTTCTGGGAAGCTAACGTGCTACAAACGTGATAACTCTTTGCACGGGTTATCTCGGGGTGCACGTGGAGGGATAACTGCTGGGCAGCGATCAGCACCCCCCCAAATTAACATCTTCAGTTCACCAGAATAATTTTTCCTGTGTGCCACTTTTAACTAAGGAGTGAACTATGTCTAAGAATTAATACCTGTTCAATCTACGTTTAAAAAATTAAGATAAATTTGTACATTTTTTAGGGTTTGTTTCTGTATTTGTCAGTGTCCGTATTTATTCTGTAGCTTTAATAATTGTTGGTTTTGTTGCTAGCAAGTCATGAAAGAAGTAAAGAAATGATGCTGTCTGCCAAAACTATTACTTTTCTTGATGAATTTTATTCTTGTAACTTTTGAGATATATTTTTAATGGGTTTTTCCTTCATAAAATTATGCTTTTTTGCCTTTCTCATACTTCTCCCTCCTTGAATATTTTTCTAATTTAAAAATAAAAGGACTAGTAGGGTGCCATTTGCCCTCCCTTTCTGGCAGCATTCCTCTATTTCCACTTTTGGTTGGAGATCACAGTAATCCAGCATGTTGTGGAAAACAGTTCTCCCCGGAGGGACATCTGGCTCTTTGATGCACTCCACAGGCAGTTCTCTTGGCAGCTCTGGAGATGCCACTGAAAGATCTGGCACGCTTCTGTTTAGATGAAAGTAAGAAAATCCCTTGTTGGTGATGTACAGAGTGAGATGCTGGTTATCGCACCAAATTGTTTTGGTCCTACTCACATACTTCTGTCAGTAAATATTAGCATAGAGCATTTTTTTTTTTACCTGGATATGAATGTGGAAGGAAGTAAAAAGGTCTGCAAATACAGGATCAGTAAAGCATAAAAGCATATTCTGAGACTCAGTTATGGGTTGACTAAATACAGAATTAATTAAAAAAAACCCAAAAACCAACGCTTTTGACTAGTGCAACTAGTATTGTACTAGTCTCTTAGTTCTGTTCCTCTAGCAGTACTCTCTACAGCACTTTTTCACCTCCAGTTAAATATTTTGCTCCTACATGAAACTTGAGTGCTTTTCTTCCATGGTGTGTTGAAGACTGTTAAACAGTTTTAATACACAAGTTTCAGGAATTCAGTTCAATTGACCCCATCTTCATTACGCTCAGGAGTGAAACCTTCAACACACATTAAGTCATTTTGCCGTGAAAGATCACCTTGGCTTCTGTGAGGCCAAGATTTCACTTACCCACCTTGAAAAGCAAAAATAATTTAAAAAACTCACCATTATTTAGCTTAAATGTTTGTATGTCCAGACTTTATGGGCCCTTTATTTTGTCTTTACCGGGTGGTCTGACTCTCTGTCGCTGTTTCTGGTACAGCAGTCCCTCTCTGGCATTTTTGACATTGTCTTTCTGTGTGATAGTTCGGAACTGCAAAAGACAGAGAATCGCGGAGGCAAGGAAAGATATTTGCCGGTAACCCTTATGGCTTCAAATACTCGCCAGCTACCCCTGCTCATTGCCCTCCATGCAGCCACAGCCATAGTTATACTACAAATTGTCTCTGAGGAGGGGTTTGTTTGGTTTTTTTTAATATTTCAAGTGCCTCCGACAAGCCTGATGTTGTACTCATCATGCTTATCAATTTTTAGCCATTTTATTAGATACAATATATATTGGTTTTTTTTAAATGACAATTTTGAATCTTTTCAGTATCTTTTGAGAAGAAATTACTTGGAGCGGTTGACATTTTAATGCAGTTTGTCTTTTCAAATAGATTTGGCTTCTAATGCATGTGACAACAGGACTTTGCTCTTCAGTTAGAGCATACATTTCAGAGTAGTTGTTACCTAAAATATTATCATAAGGCATAAGAAAACACACGATTTAAGTTGCCTTTCATGAACATAATTAAGAATTAATAAGCCTGTACCAGTGGCTAGTCCTCAGAATTTCCACTGTTTTGCCTTTTGTGACCCGTGTTATTAAAAGTCCATTATTTTTACAGACTTTATTAAATTGGATCTTATTAAAGCGTTCTATATTTGCATTTGGTCTTTCATAATTCATTATTATTATGACATTTACTTTTTACCATCAGATCTGAAAACATATCATAAGCTACCCTTTTCTCTTGAAAGAAATGCTAATTTCAAACAGTCCTCTAATGGAAGAGAAAAGCTTTATCAGTTTTTTCATTTATTCAAGATCGTGTTAAGAATACTAATGCTAGACTTCTGTATGCTAATATCCAAGAGCTTTTTTTGGTCAAAAGCTTAGAATTATTGTTTTTAGACCACACTGCTAAGTGTGTCACCGGCAGGGCACTAGTACAAAAGAAAATACAATTCTGAAGTACCACGGTTTAATTCTATGACTGATAAAAACAGTTTCTTGATCTTTCATTATTAAATTATGCTTTTGTATGAAATTATACTATTTTTATACTTCCTCGTGTTTCCTAGTTTATGGCTCTACTTTGCTTCTCTTTAGAAGTTTTTAACAAATGATTTAGCACGATTATTTAGGGGGCATTAGTTTTGAATTATAGCCTGCAGAGTAGTGTAACAGAAAATGGAATTCTCCATCGAATAAATCACTGTCTCAACCAGTTATTAATTGTTTTAATTTAGACAATCTGGCGCCTATCATATTTGTAAATATTCTCATAATTTAATTATAAAATGGGAGAAAGAGCTCTGGAATGGAATGCAGAAGCCTAGATGTTAAACAGTAGATAAACACTCAGTTAAACTGCTGAATTTAATATAATTTTTTTTAAACTAACTTCAGAAACACTTCTACAATGTTAACTTTTTTTTCCCCACGTAGGTTTCTGACGATGTGCACTAGACACTTCGGGAGTGTTGTAGCCCAAACAATTCGAACTCAGAAGACAGACCAGTTTCCACTTTTCCTTATTATTATGGGAAAACGATCATCTAATGAAGTACTGAATGTAATACAAGGTACGGTTCTCGCTTTATATTAAAAGTAGATTTTATGGGAGTGTTGAAACTGTTAGAAGATACCTTTGCTAACCGTTTCTTATTTAAGATGTTCAGAGTATGAATTTATTTCACACAAGAAACTTCCAGTTGCCATGGTATATATAGTTCCTATTCATAAATGTGTTAATTAACATAGAATTAGAGATGGAAGTTGCCATGACTGTAGTAGAACCATAGCCTAAGTTTTTCATTTTATTTAAAGTAAAAGCCAAATCTCCTAAATAAGGAGCTATACTTAGTTTTCCAAATTTATATCCGTTTACATTATTGATTTCCAAAAGATTTTGGCTGCACTTTTTATGTAGCACCAGAATGAGTTTAGTTCTCTCTGTGTAGTTCCTTGTTAATACGTGGACGCCTGCTGCATGTAGCGGGCTAATATTTGAGCATGAGTTGCTTTTTCAGACCTGCCTGCAGTGTTGAGACCCCAAATCAGATCAGAATTTTAAGTTGCTAATACAGTCTCACATAAATGAAGCTTTCTGGCTTACCTGGGCAGTTCTTTCTAGCATAACCGTTCCTCTGATTTCACTGACAGCAAGATGACTTAGATGTGGAGTGATGCCCTTTGACTGCTGTTCTCAGTAACTCTTCAAATTAAAATACATCAAAGAATGGCGGCCTCTCATTTCTTTTGCTTTCTCCACAAGTTTACCTTCATGACACTGTGTCCTCATTTACTTATTGCTTATATCTAGCAATCTTTATTCTAATCTCTTTATTTTCCTGAGGAAGTTCAGCCTCAGGAAAGACTGCCTTTTGCAGACAGCATGACTGTTTCTTTCTGCGTATGGGAGTAATAATTTTCTTGAGGAATCTGCAGTGCACCTTTCTGTGGCCAAAATTGTGAATTTTGCATGGATTTTATCTCCTTAGTGCAAGGTACAGCACAACACTAATTCCTGGTACTTCTGTCACTTAGAAAAGTTATTTCATACAAATAATCTTATATATAGATTTTGTTTTTATACTCTGCAGTGTGAACTATGGTTCGGCATGTGTATACCTTAAGCACCTGTGTTATCCCCCAGAAGTCAGTGGTCCTTACTGGCTTAAATTGCTTAACTCTTTTGTCAACCTGGTGACTCAAAGTTATAATATAATGCAGTTTTATATTAAAAAATAATCCAAATTATTTCATTGTATTCATTAAGTTTTAATGATTTTTTCAGGTTTTCTGCAAACGATCTTTTGAACTAACCTAAACCAAACCGATCGTCTATTGCAGCCTCACTTAAATTTATCTTTTAACAAAAATCAAACGTGCTGTGCTCATTATTTTCCCATGAATTGGGACACTGGTATCTTTTAACAATATGCTCCCAAACGAATGGCAGTCTCTGAAGTCATGAGTGTTGTAGCGTGCGGGATAACATTTTCTGCCAAGGTAGCAAATGCTAGAAATAGGAACAATGAGGGCTTTTCAGGGCTGGGTGAGGAGGCGTGTTTACAGAAGAGATACAGCAATATAGAAACTTAAGTCCCAGTGGCGTTTATTGAAATGCAGACTGCTTTTGGTTTTTATTTTTTCCTGGGGTTGGAAACTATGGGGACAGTTTTGTTTTCTTTAGTGGTACTGTGGCTTCTGGTTGTTTTACTCCTTTTAAAATTTTGACCATCATCACCAATATAAATCTAGCTCTTGTTGGTATTATTCTGAAAATGTCCAAAGGCTGTTTACATTGGCAGGTGTTAAGAGTTAATAGTTTTAGACCATTTCTCATGGTCTAAGACCTTTTAACTACTCTGACAAGTGGCTCTAATGGGTAGTCTAGTCTTCAGTTTAAGAAGAGAAAACAAAAACTGAGTACATCTTGGTAGGAAATGAAACTAATCTTTCAGTCTTACTGAAGACTGGAGGCACGCTGGTAGAAAAATGCAAGGAGGTCTCTCTTTTTCTATGCATGTGCTGTATTTCTTGATATATACGCGTGTGACTTGCTTTTCCGCTATTATTAACTTTCCAAGTTTTATCAGAAGTAAATACACTGAAGAGAATATATTATAGTATTTGAAGTTTTACTACTATTCATATCTGAATAAGAATGTGTGCGCACACACGTTCGATCACTGTATTCTGGGTTTTTTTCTGTTTTTTTAAACCAATCCACTTGGATGCTGCTGCCAACATCCTGCTTTTGTTGTTACCTGACCAAGCAATTGCTTCAGTCTCCCTGATTATACCTGGGAATTCTAAAACTGGAAAATCAATTTCATGTCAGGGAACCCCAGATATAGGAAAGATTATAAACCTTTTCCTTTAACATCAGTGATTAAAAGAAAAAATAGTTATACCATGCAAGCACAAAAGCGATTGCTCAGATTTGAACCACCTAAAATTTTAGCCTATGATCAACTTTTGTTTGTAAAAACAATTTTGAATTTTCAATAAAAAGGCAAACTAAAAGCATTCTGCTGAGATACTTGCATTTGCTACTCTGTAATTTTTTTTTTTTTTTTTAAGTCTGGTTATTTCTTGTGGATTAATTCTAAAATTCCTTCGTTTTTGTTTGATAAGTTTAATGATCTGAAGTTCAGCTGTCTTCCTTTGTTGCTAGGTAACACAACAGTGGATGAGCTAATGATGAGGCTGATGGCTGCAATGGAGATCTTCAGTGCCCAGCAGCAGGAAGACATAAAGGATGAGGTGAGCGTTGAAAGTTACTGCAGATACCTACAGCTTCCACAAATCACTCGGGATGCAAAATTAACCAGGTGTTTCTTTAGCCAATGAAGTTGGGTAATGATGTGTTTTAGTGTCTCTTCCATCATCAGAGGTTAAAAATGTTAAGTGTCCTTTGTGTATTTATTTAGGTGTCTCAAAAAAACCCTCCTCCTTATTGGTTTACTGGCATTTTCAGTTTGTCTCCTTTTTCTGAATATGTCATGAGTAACTGTTTACATTTACAGTGGTATTACAGAGCTTAATATGCTCATACAAGGAAACGACAATCAGATTTTTTCCCAATGACCAGTTCCAAGTCATAGGTAGAAAACAAAAATAGATTGATGTATCTTAAATGTATACACCTAAAAGAGGATTGAAAAGCAACCTTAAAAACCAGAGTTACGCCAGTACTGAATCACCATTCAGAACAATGCAGAATGGGTAAGCCATGACAAGAATTTTCAAAACCAGTGTTTCACTTACATGGAAGTAGACACAGTGAGGTATACAGTTGAGATGTGTATTTGTTACTCTATAAATTGAGAGTGACATTTTGAAGTAATGAAGTACTTAGTTAGGAATTTATAATAATAGGTGTGTTGCCATTCGAGATTATTCTTATCCTGTTGTATAGACATTGATGGACAATAATTCACTAAACACGCTCTTTGCATTTAAATCTTGTATCTCATTAGTATGAGATTTACCGATTATGGTTATAATAATATGAAGGCACAGTGTCTGCACAATATCTGCCGTTTGTTTTTTCTTCTTTATGCATGCGACCTGTAATTCATTGGTAAAGAAATTTACTTTAATTTTCTTAATACTGAACACAAATTTTAATATGAGGATTACAACAAAAATCCAAGGCACAATATAATTGATTTTTTTATTGCATTTTAACAGGAATATGTTGGGTATGGGGGTTTTTAATGCTTTAATAAAAAGGTAAAATTTGCATCACAGATGAGTTCCAAGAAAGGTTCACAACTGGAAAATATAAAAGCTGATAGAAAGGAAGAACACAGAAGGAAAGAAAAGTACATAAGGACAGAGAGATAAAAGCAAATAAGAGACAGGAGAAGGAACTAGAGGTAAGAGTGGTAGGTGTGGAATAGAGGGAGAAACAGGAGATCAGAACAGTTGTCCAGAGCTGGACACATCAGTCTTTAGGAGAGAAGATGGGGCAGGTGAGATAGACTCATCCTATTAAGATAAAACCATGTGAGTTTGCAACTGAGAAAAATCTGTGTGTGAGAGAGACAAAGCTTAAAGAGAAGACTCAGTAGCCTTGAGGCCATGATCACAGAACCACGAACTGACTTCTGTGCCCTGAGCTGCTGGGTGGCCAAGAACAGTGACAGTCCAGTAAGGTATGTCCCTGCGGTGGTAATACGGATGTCTTCTGACTTCTTACTCTAAGTGCCCTACCTGTGTAGAGAGAATGGAAAATGCATTTTTATATATTCCTCCAAAATCCGCTTTTGTCCAAGTCTTCTGTAGGCTTTTCCCCCCGTTTTCTTTTGGTTTTATGTCACTGAGAGCACCAGTGACATTTCTTCCCCAACAGGAGTTTTTTCTAACACACTTTGACATTCAGAAAATTAATGGAAAATTTCATAAACTTTGGGGGCAGGTTTCCAGATGCTCCGAGTTCGATACACAAATAGCATATGTACTTACACCTTGGCTCCACTTGTTACAAGCACACCAACAAGGTGATCTCAGACACTTTTGCCTTTGAAGCAGGAAGTTTAAAAATAAAAAAATAACCTCACTTTATGAAGTTACTATTCCAGAGAGGGAGTATTTGACAAGCAGTCTGTACGCAATAGAGGGCTTCAGCCTGAAAAAAAAATACTGTCTTTTTGTGGTTTGCTACATAACATGTAGCTTTCTTGTAAGTCTTGTACTTGACAACTTCCAAGTGTTCAAACATCAACACCTTTTCTTTTTTAAGATCTTATTGCAGTTGGTGCTATTTTTTCCCAAATACTACAATAGCAAACAGGATACAGAGTCCGGTTTCTGGTACTGTCTTCTTAATAGCAACAATAAGTCATCATAAAACCACAAGAAGATAAGCAGAAAATTCTTTTGTGTTTTAAAAAGAGACGTCATCTATATAGCTTTGCTGTAAACAGGAGCGTGTGAGAGAGAGAAATAGAACTGGAAACACTTGTAAATAACAGCATGAAATCATTAATGAGTCAGTTTATGCGGCTGAACTTCTCCACTTTGGATTTTTAACTTGCATGCACATGAAAGCTTCCAACACAGCTACTGCATAATTCTGTTCAGCACAGCATGTTTTGCAGTGCCCTCTGATGGTTATTTGGTACGGGATGGCTGTTACCACTGCCAGCTAGTGGCACGGGTGTTTGCCGTGAGGCTGGCTGTAGCTGTACAGTCGGCTCCCTGGCGCTGGTCATCGGCTGATGGTGTAGGCAGGATGCTCAGAACAGCGTCACCGGCTTTCTCACCTGAGCAAAGTCAGTCGCTTCATTAGCTGGTGGTAATACTATGGTTAGCTAAATCCTGTGCCTCTCTATCCATGTATTAATAAAATTTAAATTTTCATCAGGCAAATTTGGGGCATATTTCTATAATGCCAAGTGCTAAAATACCATCATTTAACCAGCAATTGGATTTAAGTTTTAGACTTGTATATTGTGTTTTAATAAGCTTTTTCTTACATAATCTCCAAAGAAATACCTTAAAAACATTCAGATGCATATGTGTACTCCTAATAATCCAAGGTACCTGTCTGGAGGTACAGTGGTGTGTAATTTAGGCACCTGTTTTCCCTTCCAAGCTTTCTTAAAGGGAGCTCAATCTGCTGTCCCATTCTTTTCCCTGCCCCACCAAGGCTTCTGGGTCAATCATGAACCACTGGGCCTGTTGCTTGCTGCCTGTCAGCTGTGTCGACCAGATGACATTTTGGGAACCTCCCGCCTCTTTTGGACCTTACTGTTGATGTGCCATTGTAGAATCGTGGTCTAGCTGTCGTCCTGTCTATGAGTTTGCTGCTTAAATTGCCATAGTAACAAGCCACAAATAATCAAATAGCATCAAGCATCTTGACGTTGTGCTCATGTGGGACTTCTGATAAGTGGCTAGTGGAGAATTAAATGGTGGGTTCAGTGGCATCAACAGCAGGAAGGCTGGCTGGCCAGGCTACAGTCCCACCCTTCTCAGCGCAGTCAGGCCGGGGGTCGACGTCCAGCCTCAGGACATGTCTCACACACGCAGAGTTACTTGAGGCTACACTAACGATGTCATACAACTGATGGACGTATTTTCCTTTTCTAACCAAGTTTGCTCCTCTGGCCCACACGGCAAATGTTGATACCTCAACTCCTGTTCAGGCAGTGGGGTTGGGGGTTTTTGCAAAGAGGAGATAAACACCCCTAAGGAGTTTCTCCTGTAGGTGACAGAGGGTATCTCCGAGCAGGGACAACTGGCCTCTGCCACTGTTGATCAAGGTGTGAACCGAGATTTTTCAGGGACTGACTTTGAAAAGAGCACGTAGTATCGGTTCCTCTTAAGTGTCAGCGCCTGGTGCTGGGCTTAGGAAAACAAATAATAATTGTAAAATATTGTACGCCCTGGAATGTCCATTTTAAAACACCCTGTTAGCTTGCTTGCTTTAACTGGATCCTCGAATAATCATCTCGGCGTGGCATGATGGGCCCAGATAGATCCAAGTTAGTTCCTTTGTGAGATTAATGTGAAGAGATACGTGATTAAATCCTGGCATTACAGCGCAACACACCTGTTCTGGGCTGATCCTGAACATTTTTTCTCCATTGCCTGAGGAGGAGGCTTCTCAAAGGATTACAGTAACACTTTTTGACAAGCTTATACAGGGTGGAGTTTCCATGTAATGACAGGGCTTATTTGATGATGTCTCAGTAATGCATTCTTTTTATTTTTGCTGTCAACATTTATTACTGTAGAAGCATTGACTGTTACACAGCTGGTCCAACTTGTCCACATTTAAGTAACAGTAGGTCTCTCATCGTGTTTATTTTTGTCGTTACGCAACACTAGCACTCCTGCTCTCGGATTAGACTTCAAGGTGGAATTGCAATACCCACAGTTGCTTTGAAAAACTTCGTATTTTTTACAAATATCAATTAAAACCTTCATTTCACTTTAAACTATGTCTGCTGACACACTGTTTTCTTTAGTGTAAAAGAGAGATAGTTAAGAATTTTTAAACTGGAAAAATTGTTGTAAACAGACTCTGACTGAAGGTAAGCTGTAGAAGAATGCAGCCCTGCAGAGTCACCATCTTTGCTCGCTGAGCTTAGGTAACATCTCTTCTTCCTAGATACTGCTACATCGTGAGGAAAATGTAGGTCTTTCCTAACCAATATCTGGATGGGGATTTTAAAAATATGCGAAAGAAAACAAAACCTCCAAAACAGCAATATAAATTCACCTCCTTTTCCCTGCCGCAGCTCTTTGTAAAAGTATGCTTGCGTGTCCATCCCAGCACTCTCTTGTATTAGATGGGGCTTTAATGGCCAAGTGTTATTTCCATAACTTTGCAGTAAGAAGCCTGGTATCACCACGTCTTCCTCCTCCTCTACCTCACTGCTGTCAAATATAAGGGATTTCCTCCCCCCCCCCCCCATATGATGATATAACCGTTTTAGCTTCCTTTTCCTCTTTCCTCTTCTGACGATGTCTCTCACAGCCACAAAGGAAGCTAAAGAGGATCAGTCGTCATGCATATTCTCCTCATCTGTGGTCTGTTTGCCTTCTCCTCCTCCAGATCAGTTGCTTTTCTCCACTCCCTACCTGCAGTTTTGTTCTCCAGTTAGAGGATGGTCTAAGTGCTTCCATCAGCCGCGCAGGAGACCTCTGTGATTTCTGTTTAGGCACTGAAGCTCACATTAAAATCGGTAGAAATTAGGCATCTGAATACCTTTGATAATCTGTGTTCCATCTAACACTGTCATGTGTAT